CTTCCTCGAGGGAGGAGGAGGAGGAGGAGGAGGAGGAGGAGGAGGAGGAGGAGGGGAAGGGGAGGAGGAGGGGGAGGAGGAGGAGGAGGGGGAGGAGCTGGAGGAGCCGGAGGAGGAGGAGCTAGTAGGGCTTCTCGGAAAGTGGGAGGGGTTCTAAGAAGGACGCCACCCTCGCCCTGCCTTCTCGAGGACCACCACGGCGACCACCACCAATCGCCTCGACGACGACGACCACCACCACCATCACCACCACCACGACAACGACCGCGACGACGAGGAGGGCGAAGGCGACGAAGACGAACATGACGACGACGACGACGACGACAACGACGACGGCGGCGGCGGCGGCGGACGCGCCGAGCCTGGACCAGCGGCAGCTCGTAGCCCCCCACGCGCATCACCAGGAAGCAGAACAGGGACGGCCACCCCTTCACGGCCAGGCCTCGGGGGAGGGGGGGGGATGGCGAGGACGCGACGACGACGACGATGAGAAGGAGTATAGCAAGATCGCGGGGCGGGGGGAGGAGGAGGGGGAGGAGGACAACGAGAGGGACGAGGAGGAGGACGAGGCGTGCGAGGAGGTGGAGGGGGAGGTAGAGAAAGAGGGCGCCGGGGAGGGAGAAAGAAGGGGGAGAATGGGGGAGGAGGATGGGGATGGCGATCGAGGCGGGGGAGCAGGATGACGTGGAGGAGAGCACGAGGACGAGAAGGACGAGAAGGACGAGGAGGGGAGAAGGACGACGACGACGACGACGACGACGACGACGACGACGACGACGACGATGACGGCCGAAGCGCACGGTGTTTGGGCGGGCAGGCGCGAGGGAGCCCGAGGGCCAGGACGAGGACGAAAAGGACGAGGAGGACGCGGAGGGTGCGGAGGAGGCGAGAGACGAGGAGGACGAGACGAGGGCGAGGAGGAGGGCGAGGAGGAGGGCGAGGAGGAGGGCGAGGACGAGGCGAGACCCGAGGGCGAGAGGAGCGCGAGGAGGAAGGCGAGGAGGAGGACGAGGGGGGCGACGACGAAAGGACGAGGAGGAGGAGGACGAGGAAGTCGAGGACGGGGATGGCGAGGGCGAGGACGAGGAAGACAAGGACGAGGAGAGCGAAGAAGGGTGAGAGGGTCCCAGACCCCGTACACCGGGATCTGTTCACAGCGTGGACACCCCAAGTTCCCAAAATGGTCTCGACTCTGCTCCACGGGACCCGCTTGTCATCCCAGAGCCGTTGTTTTTGCAGGACCTGGAGCACGAGAGCGGCCCGCAGAGGCAGCAGATACAGGAGGCGTGTCTTGGAGGAGGAGGGAGAGGAGGAGGAGGAGGAGGAGGAGGAGGAGGAGGAGGAGGAGGAGGAGGAGGATGTTCGACACGCTGGGCACTGGAAGCATGGAGAGGGCGTGGGGCGGTCAGGCCCTCGGATCGGCACGCCGGGTCGGACCGGCACGTGCACCGCATCGGCTGGGCCGCGCCAGGACGCGCGCGACAGCGCCGTGCAAGCGGCGGGCCACAGCAAATCTTTCGGGAGTTGCTGCAGTTTTTTGTCCTATAATAGGGACCGGTGGCGATGACGAGTTCACAACCAATGACGTGCCCAGAATTCGAATGAGTCGGCATCCCCTCATGGGGGCTTTCCCATCACCGAGGCACGCGCTGAAGCGGCACTGGGCGGCCGGGTAGACGTCACCACATTCAAGGGGGGAGAGGAGGAAGAGGCAAGAGGGGGGGAGAAGGCCAGTGGAGGCCAGTCCACAAGAAACCGTCCACAAGAAGCCCAGCCCTGAGACCCCACGGCGTCCGCTGTTTTTCGGTGTGGGAACTGCACGCGTTCCACCGCAGAACCATCGGAACCCGAGAAACCCAGGGCACCTTCGAGGCGAGCAGGGTGTCTCGGCATGGGCCTCCACTGTAGAAGAAGTGCCCCTGGCCCAAGGTGACCCCAGGATTTCCAAGGAGGCCCCCCCATGCCTCCATGACCCCCCCCCCCCACGAGGCCCAGAGGGCCCCAGAGGGGATCCAAAACTGAGCAAAAAAGCTGTCGAACCGGATCGATCGGATCGAAAAGGGACCCGGGAGAGGGCGCGTGGGAGAAGAGCGGAGGGGCGGCGGCGCGGCCGTAGCTCCGCGAGCCCAGCGTGTCGCAGGCCCAGCTCTCGTTGTTGTCGCTGGGGTCGGGCCCTCGTTCGGGAAGGGGGGTCGCAGATCGAGGAGGAGGCGCGCAGGAGGAGGGCGAGGAGGAGGCGAAAGACGAAAACGAGGGGGGGGCGAGGACGAAAGGACGAGGAGGACGAGGACGAGGAGGTCTCAGGGGTCGGGCCCTCATTCGCGAGGGGGGGCGCCAAGACATTCGCGCTCCGCTTCTGGCCCCCTTCCTGGGCTGTTGCTCGCAATGTTTGGGGTGGTCCGCCTGCCTCCTCCTCCCCCTCCTCCTCCTCCTCCTCCTCCTCCTCCTCCTCCTCCTCCTCCTCCTCCTCCTCCTGGTGTTTTGGCACGTATCCTTATACCTTGGTGTTGCTGTGAATGCCAGTGGCTCGCAACGGTCAGGCGAAACTCGCCAGGTGTGCCGAGGGAGGCCGCAGAGCCTGCTCCCCCGAGGCACAGCTGGCGGGTGACAGCTGGCTGGAGACCCGTCGCGCCGTTAGGGGCAGACGATCCTATGATGCCTCGAGGCGGCCGCCGCCCGTTGCTTCCGCAGAAACCGCATTTGCACGGTCGGCGCCTGCACAAAAAGTCTTCATGACCCGTCAGCGCCGACGTGCGCGTGTCCACCGAGCCCTCTTCAGTGCGGGCGCGGGCGGTGCGGTGCGGTCCGACACGGGCCGCGTGCCGTCGGTGGAGCGGAGCGGAGCAGACACGCGCTGGGCCTGCACGCGTCCCGAGGAGCGTGGAGCAGAGAGGGCACCGCACGCCTTGTCTGGCCTCCTCCTCCTCCTCCTCTTCCTTCTCCTCCCCCTCCTCCTCCTGCTCCTCCTCCCCCTCCTCCTTCCCTCCTCCTCCTCCTCCTCCTCCTCCTCCTCTTCCTCCTCCTCCTCCTCCTCCTCCTCCTCCTCTTCCTCCTCCTCCTCCTCCTCCTCCTCCTCCTCCCTCCTCCTTCCCCAGACCTCTGGAGGATTGATGCCTCCAACCCTGGCGCACCTCCCTCTCTCTGGGCCGTGCTCGGGCCCATCGCTCATCAGGCGGGAGTCCACGACGCAAAGCCACCCCCCTGGGCTAAGGGGTGGAGACCTCTGCGGCCCTACGGACTGCAAGGACCAGTCCTTCGGAGAAAGCACCAAGCTTTCTCTCTCTCTATCTCTCGTCCTCGTCCTCGTCGTCCTCGTCGTCGTCGTCCACCGAGACCGTCAAAACACGACTCGGGACGAAAGGCCAGCCCAGGGAAAGAGGCCGAGACCTCCAGAGAGGGAGAGAGAGAGAGAGAGTGCAGGCTGCGAACAGGAAGAGCTCACGACGTGGTCAGGACCGTTTCGTCCCCCGCGTCTTGCACGACGCCCTTCTTCTACATTATGAGCAACGCCCCCTCTGTCGCGCCCACAGACGTGTCGGCAGGGCGGCCGGGTCGCTCTGCCCGAGACGCGCTGGCCACTCGTGGCCGCGGGGCCTGCGCTGCGCACCAGCCTCGAGGGCGGAGGGGTGGCCGCCCGCCCTCGCGCCGCGTACCTTTACCTCAAGGCCTGCAGCTGCTACGGGCATGGAGGGTGGACGCTTTGCACAGCGTGGGGCACTCGCCCCAGCGGTGGCCGCATGCGTCTCGAGGGCCCGCAACACTGGCAGGGGCAGGGAGGGATCGGGCCTTCCACACGGGGACCTCGCCTCAGCTCTTCGCGCACTCGCCTCGACAGCCTGTGCGGGACGGCGGAAAAACTGGCTCTGCAGTGGCGCTCTCGCAACTGCGCCGTCGAGACTGTAGCGGATGACTGCCCCTTGTCTCAAACGACTTCTCCTTCGAGACCATCCCGAACCTGGCAGGACTGGAACGCGAGCACGTGGAAAAGCTGCCCGGGTGGAGGGCGGTTCTCTCCCCGAACCTCGAGCGAGCTCTCGCCCGAGCAGCCCTCGAAAGCCATGACCGGCTGCCCCGACGGCGCCGGGTCCTGTCTCGAAGAGCGGGGGTCCCGCAAGACACCTCGATGCACTCTTTGTGATCGTGCCTTGTCGCATTCGATACGACTCGCACTCGTCACTGCTCGCTACAAAGATGCAAGGACATCCGTTACCAGCTACGCCAATGGCGCAGTTCCTGTCTCGAAGCGGGGGTCCCGCAGGACACCTCGATGCGCTCTTTGTGATCGTGCCTTGTTCGGGGATGGACAGGCCCCCCTTTAGTAGAACGTGGTTTAGTGAGAACGACCTCGGGCCCAAACCTGGCGGGCGCGGGCCTGGAAAACAACGGCCGCGGCGCCCTCTCGAGAACCGAAAACGGACAATTCACTAATCGGCGTGTCACTGTTGGGGGTTCTGTCCACCCCCGACTTGTCGCATTCGATATGACTCGCTCTCGTCACTGCTCGCTACAGAGATGCAAGGACATCGCTTTGCAAGCGAGGCTCTCGCCGGAATAGCAGCCTCATGGGGCGCTCATATCTCATGGGGCACTTCTTGCAGTGCCTCGAAGGCCTTGGAAACGAGTGGATCCGAGACGGGAGAGCGTGCTGCCGCATCATTGATGCGTCCTGGGTTTACTCTGGGCCTCTTCCTCCTCCTCCTCCTCCTCCTCCTCCACCTCCTCCTCCTCCTCACAGTCCTCCTCGTCCTCCTTGTTCCCCCTCCTCCTCCTCCTCCTCCTCCTCCTCCTCCTCCTCTTCCTCCTCCTCCTCCTCCTCCTCATCATTATCATCATCCTCATCATCCTCATCATCCTCATAATCCTCATCATCCTCAGCATCATCAGCATCATCATCATCATCATCATCATCATCATCATCATCATCATCATCATCATCATCATCATCATCATCATCATCATCTTATCATCATCATCATCATCATCATCATCATCATCGTCGTCGTCGTCGTCGTCGTCGTCGTCGTCGTCGTCGTCGTCAGCAGCAGCAGCAGCAGCAGCAGCATCATCAGCTTCATCATGATCGTCCTCACTCTAATATCGCTCATCCTCCCACGTTTGTTCCCCGTCCTCTTTCTCATCACCGTCATCGTCATCATCACTGCCACCACCATCAGTATCATCGATATTATCCACAGCATTCAGCATCGTCATCACCGTCGTCATCCTCGTCATGATCATATTCATCACCTTCCTTCTTATAGATTCCTCCTCCTGCTCCTCCTCCTCCTCTCCCTCCTCCTCCAAAAGATCTTCCTTGCACTCAGCCTACCCCTGCGCTTATTCATTCTCCTCTTCCTCATCCTCCAACTTGTCCTCTCTCCCGTACTCCACTCTACGACCAGGGCACCCGAAAGAATCCCCACGCCGCCCACATCATCACCATCATTGTCCGCTTATCCTGAGGCAGAGACCAGTCCTGGAGGCGCTGGGGCTTCCTGGGGACCGGTTTCACATCCTGGGTCGTTTTGTGACGGTCCCCTGGACCCCTCGTCGCTACTGTGGAGGCCAGTCCACAAGAAACCTTCCAGAAGAAACCCAAACCTGAGACCCCAGGACATCCATTGATTTTTGGTGTTGGGACGTCACGATTTCCATGGCAAAACCGTCGAAACCTAAGAAACCCAGGGCTTCCTGGAGGCAAGCAGGGTGTTTCTTGGCATGGGCCCGCACTGTAAAGATCTTGGCCAGGATGCGCTCCCGGACAAGGCCGGGGACTTACTCCTTGGACAAGCAGGGTGTCGCCGCAGGCCTAGTCAGGCCCCCTTGCAGGAATAGGGAGGGAAGATCCTCCGAGACGCCGCCGCTGAAGATCGAGGTTCGAGGGTCACGCTTCTGGACGCTTCAGCCCTGTTTGGGCATCCAGAAGCCCTGGGGGGCCATCTGGAGGCCACCCAAGCGCGGCCCGAGTAGATGGGCTCAGAGCATTGACGTCGCCAGCGACGCATCCGCGACGTCGGCGTAGAGAAAATCCCGCTCCACATTGAGACTCATCGCCGACGCATCGGCGATGCGGCACGATCCGCCGAACCCGTGTATTTCGACCCCACTTGGGCAGTCTGGACATTCGGAGACACACGTCTTGAGACTTCTGAGAATATTTCTGGAAACGCCCGAACCACTGGGGCTCCGTCGTCCGACAGGCAAAACGCGCCAACACGCCCAAGCCTCAAATCCGGATGCGGCTTCTCAGGCCCAGGGGTGGGAGGGAGAGCCACTGGTCCGCGATCGCGCTCACAGTCTCGCGAACCGAATGGTGCAGGGAAGGGGCGAACGACACTCGGACGATCATATGATTATGCGTGGGCCCCGAAAACGTCCCGGAGTCATCCGCGAACTGGGCCGAAGGCACGAGAATTCAAATTTGGGGTGCAGGGGTGAGGAGGCAGGAGGAAGCAAGAAGGGCGAAGGAGGCAGATCGGGTCACGGCCGCCCCCAAAAGCTGGGTAGACAAAAGGAAGCCTATTCCAAGTGTTGGCGCAGGACAGCGCCCGAAGGAGATGTGGGTCTGGCGTTAAGAACAGCATGTACTTCCCACGACCGACGAGTTACCCTTGCAAGAGCAACGCGTCTCTTGCATCGGTCCAACCACTAGAGGCCTCCCGAATAGGGTCCGAGCAGTTGGGGCTGGAGGATCGCGCCGCATCGCCGATGCATCAGCGATGCATCGCCGATGCATCGCCGATGCGGGGCGATCCACCGACCCTATCCACGAGAGAGCGCGCCCCCCCCTCCCCCCCTCCGTTTCCCAGGTTGCTAATTGTAGCTTCGAAGCCCCCCCCCTGGTGAAAGGAGGGGGGGATAGCTTGAAGCTGGGGCCCCCCTTTTGTTCTACGCGCCTCCTGCAGCGCGCTCTTTCCCATTTACTCGGACACTTTCTGGGCGGCCCAGAACCACCCGCACCCCTGCCCCTCAGATCCACCAAACACCTCTGAAGCGTAGGGGCGGGGTGGACACGATAGGTTCCAGCCTTGACGACGTGGACTAAGACGAAGTCAAGACGATGACAAATTCGGGTTAGGATAAATAGAGAATCTCTGAGATCAGGCGGCTCTGGAAGACGTCTCGGGCGCCGCCACCTTCTCAGAGCGTCCTGGAACGCTCTGACAGCGTTCCG